CACTATTTTTTCTTTCTGTTTCTGCATCTGATGATGTCAGAAGTTGACCCCATCTGACCTTAGGCTGTCTGTTCCAGACTTTCAGGAACCTATTGTCTGTGGTTGTCTCCTTCATTTGTTAATCTAGTCACTCTGCACTCAGTAGTCAGGTTAGGCACCACAGGGTGAGGCAGAGTCTCTCCTGGGGCTGGGGCTATAGTTTCCTCTCTTGCTGCTACCACTCAGGTGTGGTCTGCCTGAGCAAGGTGGCTGCTGCAGTTTGGGGGATGATTTCACACTAGGATCTCACTGGCTACTCTCTCAGTTCTCTCCCCAAAGCCTCCTTCCCCAGTCTTTCCTCAGGTGTCTATAGTCCATTCTGCCCCTGCTTTTGCCAGGGCCCAGTATAAGTGACTGCAAATAAAAATTTATGTTTTGGCACTTTAAATGGCTCTTTTCATCTCCTGCCTCCCATCTCTGGCAGAATCAACCCTGCTGCTTTTCGTAACTGGGTGTTATCCGTGTACTTTTGGGGCTCTGGTGCTGTAAGATGGGGATCCCTGCTTATGGTTTAGACCCCACTCTTCTCAGGGGAATCCTACTGGCCATTTAATATCCCTCTGTCACTGTTACCCATGGGTGCCCATCCCCCTTCTTGAAAGTCCACCACACTCCTTTTCTGTCAGGTTGTGCTGAAGCTTATTCTTTTGTCTGTCCAAGGTTATAAGGCTTCTCTTTCACTATTGTTCAATTGTTTGTTCCAGGTGATTTCTCCACTATTTTTTTTTTTTTTTTGTAATTCCAGATTGGTTCTGGGAGGAGGTCAGTGTGACTTCCATTCATTCCTCCACCATTTTGCCTCTCTCTCCCTCTTATTTTAATTAATGTTCCTCATTACACAGCCTAAAATTTACAGTCTAGCCTAAAATTTACAGTCTTAACCATTTTAAGTGTACAGTGCAGTAGTGTTAAGTATATTCACAATATTTTACAACCAATTTCCAAAACTCTTCATCTTGCAAAACTGAAACTCTGTACCCATTAAGTAACAAATTCCCATACTCCTTTCCACTGGCAACCACCATTCTACTTTCTATTTCTATGAGTCTGACTACTGTTAAGTACTTTCACATAAGTGCAATAATACAGTATTTGTCTTCTTGTGTCTAGCTTGTTTTACTTAACATAATATCCTCAAGGTTAATTCATACTGTAGCATGTGTCAGAATTTATTTTCTTTTTAACAACGAATAACATTCCATTGTATGATAGACCATGTTTTGTTTACTTATTTTTCTTTGGACACTTGGGTTGCTTCCACACTTTGGCATTTGGGAATTATGCTGCTACGAACATAGATTTGCAAATATCTCTTTGAGACCTAGCTTTCAATTTGGGGAAGTATATACTGAGAAGTGGAATTTCTAGGTCATATTTTAATTCTATTTTTAAATTTTTGAGGAACCATCATACCATTTTTTTCCATAGAGGCTACACCATTTTACATTCCTCAAATTGCACAAGGGTTCCGATTTCTCCACACCCTTCCAACACTTGTTATTTTCTGGTTTTGTCATTATTTTTGATAGTAGGCATCCTAATGAGTATGAGGTGATATCTCATTGTGGGTTTTGATTTATATTTCCCTAATGTCCAGTGATGTTAAGCATCTTTTCATGTGCTTTTTGCACATTCGTATATCATCTTTGGATGAATGCTTATTCATGTCCTTTTCCCATTTTAAAAACTGTGATGCTCATTGTTTTTTCATTGCTCTGATCCTTCTTTGAATTCCAGTTATGATATACTCAATTACTTTGCCCTACTTCTAAAAACGGATTCAGGAAAGCTGGGTGGCTATTAGGGGGTAGACACAGAGGCACTGGGCCATATCTACATATACAATGTAATCCTGGCTGGGTGTCAAGTACATTCAGGGCTATAACTAACCCTATAATTTGTATTTCTGGAAATAGACAGGAGTGCCATTTGAGGAAGACTCATGAGTAGTACATGTATTGGTCCATAAAAGTCTTCATTGCCTCATCTCAAAACCCACATGAGGTATCTTTCTAGAAGGAAAGTTATCCTTGTCCTGGGGTCAACTTTGAGAAGTAAATTTCAGTTTTGTGGCATGGGAATTACTGAACTATAGAGGTGTGCTTTCTGTATAGGAGAGGTCAAGACTGGGAAGAACAAACTTCAAATCACAGGGAGAATTTTCAGTGGGGGTGTGTCTGTCATTTTATTATTTAGTAATCACCTATTTCATGTTTAAGATCTAGGCATTTGGCTAAGGAGGTAAGAACAAAATTGCAACTTGGTCAAGGTTAAGTCAATCTAGTTTGTATCTATCAAATTCCAGAGCATAGAGAAATAGTAGAAAGCTAAATGCAGAAGTATAAACCAATAATCTTCGACTCCTACTCCTGTCTTATTGACACCACAATATTTGCTTTGATATCCTTCTTTGACAATATGGTAAAAAGTATGCTGGCTGATTAAAATGTGCTATATTGGAAAGGGCAAATTAAATTAAAACATAATTTTCCTTTATTATTAACAAAATCTGCAATTAAATCAAATGCTGCTTCTCCCCACCCATAGAACACAGAGCACCTATGAAGTTAAAGAAAGTGTTTGCTGTTAAGAATTAATGTTTTGGAGACTTGGTCATAACTAGCTTATAAGATGACTAAATGAAATAACACATGAAAGCTTCCAGCAACATTAGGGTAGTAGGTTGTTTTCCTTCTTTTCTTTTTCTTTATTTTTTTGTGTCTACACATGAGAAAAAGAGATTACTAAGCAAATTAATAAGTAAGCAGACAAACATGTAATGTGCACTTTTATCTAACAGCTGAGGGACATTTAGCAGCAGCCTAATTCACATAATTAATTTGCTAATTATAAATGAGTCCCATGTAGTATTTAAAGCATTTAAAAGAACTTTAGAAGCCTTATAATTATTCCCCCTTCTACTTGTAGCAATGTAAGTGTAATCCTTAAAGAGAAAGACCAGTATTGCTTTTTAAAGGTTCTAATAGTCAGACTACTCATTTACTTAAACCAACACCCCTTCATTTGCCCCACTCTCCCTTTCTGATCGAAAACCCTGAAGCTAGCACAGGAAAGAAGAACAGGAGGACATGATACCCAAGGCCTTTGCCATGCACACTGTGATTCAGCTGCAGCAGACTCCTTGTCAGCCCTCAAACAAGCAGTCACTTTGGCCTATTTCACTGGCTGTGCTGCATCTCTATCTGATGAGCTCCTGCTCTTTTTTGCAACCCAGTTCATAATCCTCATTGCCTTCTCCAAGCCACCATTTCCAACACCTGTAGGTACCTTCTCCCGCTCTCTATTGAATTCCTATCACACTCTGCTCATATCTGTTAGATTCCTGATCACATTATATGGCCATAATGTGTTCACAAGTCTATCCACTGGATTATTAACTCCCGGAAAACAGGGACTAAAACTGACTTATTTCTTAATCTTTCTACTTATCCACAAATACCTAACATAGTTCTTGGTCCACTAGATACTCAGTAAATATTTGGCAAAAGTTATTATTAGGATCAAGAAGGTAAATGGCAGTGTGGTCTAAAGGGGAAAATAATATCAAAATGATGGGGACTCTTAAGTAAAAAAGAAAAGAAAGAGAAAGATATCAGGAGAAAGGGGTCAATAAGAGAGAGTGGAAATAGGAAAACCCAGGAAGGAAACACATATGAAGTTGAGGAGTAAAGAGGTGAAACACAGATGCTGGGAAGCAAAGTAACACCGGGAAAGGGAATAATATGAGGTGTGTGAAATTAGGGCAATACAACTAGTCATTACTTTTTATCAGATACTCTTGGGCATTTCTGAAGCTCATCTATCCCCACTTATCCCTAGAAACAAAGAGGAATGGAAAGAAGAAAGGCCAGGGTGGGGAGTGAGGCAGCAAATACTACAGACTATGAACTTGGCCACTGACTTTGGCCTGAGTCTGGGACTGGCCTGTTCCATTGGCTTCACATTCCTCAGCCTCGCTCTTCTAACTGAGGCCTGAGCTTTGTCTCTTCTCTTTTATACATGGAAGGTTCATATATACACAAGTTATATATGTGAGAACTAATGGGTACATGTGTGCATACTTGTTTCCCATTGAGTTTTTTACTCTGAAAAAAAAATCCAAAGGAGAATGTCATAGGAAGCCTTTAGCTATCTCTGCCCTTACTGTGTCAGAGGGGAGCATTTGCATAGTTCCCTGGGGAGGCTGTGGCTCTGGCCTGCAGCCTTTCAAGAGTGATAGACCCTGGAGTGCTCCCTAGCTTGCTGAACACATTTACTGTGCATGAAGGGTGAGATACTGTTATAATGATGTCTATAAACATGCAGTAGTACGTGTTGTGTCTTTAAGACAAAATGACTTTCAAACTCACTGAGCTCTCTTCCCCACAGGAGATGTGCCACTTGATGGCTGAAGCCTTTTGGAGTTATTTCTCGGGTAACAAAAAGTGTCTTGTGCCTATAGAAAGCAGCATGGAGCAGCCCCGGATAGAAGTCAGGAGCCCAGGTGGCTATTGTGGGCTCTGCCACTCAGTCTGAGGCTTTTTCTCATCTGTCAAATGGGAATAATCTCACCCACCTACCTCAATAAGGTTACTGTGAGGATCAAATCACATGATGATATAGGACCCTGTGACCAACATTTCAGTTTTCAAGTGATTTCTACCACCATTTTCTCATCTGATTCTCTCAACAGCCCTGCCAAATATTTTGATCCTCATTTTACAGAGGAAGAAATTAAAGCTCAAAGAGAAGTTACTTGGCTAAAGCCACATAGCTAGTAAACCAGGATGATGCAAGTTTTCGAGACACAAACCTGGCTATTCAGTGTGATTGGCTTCAGGGTCCCTGTTTCTTAACTTCCCTCAGGGTTCCTCCTTTCCATAGCCTCTGAAGGTGCTCAGTGTAAAGAATTAATTAGCTTTTTTGTTCCCTCTTCTCCCCTACTTTTTTCTGGCCCCTAGAAGAAAACACCAGCAGCCCCGACAAAGAAAACCAGCACCACCTTCAACATCGTGGGAACCACCTATCCCATCAACCTGGCTAAGGATACTGAGTTCTCCTCCATCTCCAAGGGCGCTGCTTCCAGTGCTTCCTCAACCCCGACAATCATTGCTTCACCCAAGACCACCTACGTGCAGGACATCCCAACTGAGACCAAGACCTACAACAGTGTCAGCAAAGTTGACAAAATTTCCCGCATCATCTTTCCTGTGCTCTTTGCCATTTTCAATCTGGTCTATTGGGCCACATATGTCAACCGGGAGTCAGCTATCAAGGGCATGATCCGCAAACAGTAGATAGTGGCAGTGCAGCAACCAGAGCACAGTATACCCTAGGAAGCATCTAGGCACCCATACCCCAGGACTCCCTTTCATGTGTTTCAGGATTCTTCTTTTTAACCCTCTACCAAGCTGTGACTTTCAATTCCTATTTATGAATCTCAATGAAAAAAAAAATTAACAGAAGAATTACTTGTCCCTCTAACATTGCTGAGTGTACTCTCATCAGAACCAAACACTGCCAGTTATCCAGATGCTCATCTTAGTCTGCCAGTCACCCCAGCTGAAGGCACTGCATGTATTTCATTGCACTCTGCCCACTGCAAAACAGAGACTCTATTACCTGTAGTGGGAGCCTTGGCTGTTTGAAAGGTCCAGGCCAAGGAGTATTGTTGACTGGTCCAGATCAGATGATTCTGACTAAGCAGGGAGCCAGGCAGGGCTATCCTATGTGGTCCTGCTCACCATCTTACCAACTAGGCATAAGTATTAATAGCAAAGGCAGGTGTCAGTGCTATCCTCTGAACATGGCTCCCAGCCTCTTTATTGGCTTGGAGGTTAGTGAGGACAATTGAGGCTCACCACTGTCTACTATGTATAGCCAAAACCAATAGAACAAACTGGGCCAGACTGACACCAATGTGGCTGGTGCCCTGCCATGTGTAGCCCCTCAGGAAAATGGTAACTTTTTTTTTGGTATCTCTCTCCTCCAGGAAAACCCTCTTTGCTCAAGCCTTCAACCTGTAGCCACCTGGACACTGTTTAGTTTGGTCTCATTGCCACCTGAAAATTCTTCAGAAAAAAGGAACAAGTATTTTTAAAATTTATACTAAAAATGTAAAAATAGAAACAAAAAAGATCTATATCAAATACCTACACAAATAATTTTTAGGACTTACGTGATAAGAGTGATAATTTTCAAGAGATAGTGCCAAGGTAACTAGTCAAGTACAAGATGGGGCAATAGATTTGGACTGGGTGGTAGCTGGTGCTTGAATTCTTGCTCAAAAGATAGAGCTGCTGGCAGATAAAAATAAAATTCTTCCTTTCATACCCTCCACATTCCACACCCTAGCCCAGGCCCAAGAACTTTGCTCCTACTAAGTCAGGGAACTCTGGTCCTCTATTAATGCTGATTCTAAGGGGTGTGTGTGTGTGAATCAGAGTCTAGTCAATTTATGAATCAACTAAATCATTAATTTTATTATCAGTTTGATAATATATTATTTAGGGGACGTTTGATTTAATTTGTTCTTAATGTGAGTAAAAGAGATAGTTATAATTATAAAATTTTTATAAGGTAGATAAACTAAGTATTTATGACATTTGAGTGACTTGCCTAGGCTCCTTACAAGTGTGTCTGTAATACAGAATCATCATGTGCCTATTTCTAAAGGCCAAAATGAAGAAAAGATTGAGAAGGCAGTCCACGTTAACCTCAGAATCAACACAATCTTAACAGGCTTGATGGGTCCTGAATGCAGTTTGCTTGGACACCAAAAAGATTTTTAGAAAGTCACAATGTGTTACCTAAGGAGACCGATTCTAATAGTCATGGCTTAAGGGAATGAGATTAAGTGACAGCCCCAGTGCTGGGGGTCCAAAGTCCAAAGTAAAGTCACAGATGGTACCAAAAACAAATTTTCCCTGTCTACCCCTGAACAAAGCTCTTAAGGGGTCTATCATTAGCTGCTGGTTGCCTTTTCACCCATCCTTTCCCCATCCTCTGCTTCCTTGACATTGCTGGGATAATGCATGCCAGTCCCATTATTCCTAAGACTGTGTCTGTAAGTAAATTCATGACTAGAAGAGTGTAGTGTTGTGGATATGTGGGGATGGGGATGGGGGTGGGGTGGGGCTGTTAATGATCGTATTAAGGTATTAGAATGAAAGCCTGACCTTTGCCTCTTTGTAGAAATTTTGTTTCCAAATGCTTTGGTGCAATGTTTAGTGGCTGTTTATTAAACTTTCTGAATTGTACTTAGGCTGGAGAACTTTTTTGATCACTCTTTGCCTAACATAGGTGGTACTCTGTTCTTGGTTTTCACCCCCATTCTTGTACTGCCTTTCTTTTATACTTTTACCACCACTGGAATATGATGGACAAATACATATCCTGAGCAAGAGACCTATTACAGTGGTCCAAAATGGAACCCAGGTGAAAACACAGCTTGATTAACTCAGGGGTCTTATTACCCAACATGTATTGCTTCATTTGCAAAATTCACACACTTCCAGGAAATAGAGTGATATTTTCATTGCAACTCTAAAGGCTTTCATTTTCCATTGATTACTGTTTCCCTTAGGAAATAGTTCCCTTAGGCAGAGAGAGAGAGAGAGAGAGAGAGAGAGAGAGAGAGAGAGAGAGAGTCTGGTTGGTTGATCCATGTGTTGGGAAATGTATGACCCTTATTTATTAGAATTAGGAAAATTCTAGGGAATAACTTCATGAGATGTGCTTGAGGAAATCATCTGAACTCGAAGAGATGGAGGGTCTCCTTGGGAGAGCATTTCAAATCATATAAAAGTTTTCTTGTGTGAAATAACATTAGGGACTTGGACAATCTGACCCTTGATGCATGTTCCAGCCCTGTGGTCATCTGATGGATGCCTTTCTACTGCAGGAATTCCATAGTCCCTGTACAGTTCTACTATACCCCCATAAAAAAATGCATGAAGCACATATGGCTGCCTCCCTAGCAAAAGGTATCAGTACCTATATTTCAGTGTTGTTTCCTTGAGAAGCTTCTGAAGCCACTTTGCTTCTGAAAAATATTCCCGTAGTCTTAGGGAAAAGTTGAAGCTGTTCCCATCAACACTTCCATTGATGAATTCCCCTAGAGTTGGAAACTTATTCAGAAAAATGAATACCTGGATTTAAGCCAGAGCTTCATACCACCATAGATGCTATGTGATGTGGGGCAAGCCCCTCCCCTAAGCTGAGGCTTAGTTTCCCCACTAGTAAAATGGGGTTCCTATCAGAACCAAGTCAACCCAGTACCTTTCCAGCAGCTGCCCTGGTATGCCACTCTACACCTGAATATCACTACATACTGGAGCCCCCATGAAACTCAACTGAGGGCCCTGACCAGTGTGGCTCAGGTTGTTGGGCATTGTCCCACAGAGGGAAAGGTCGCCAGTTTGACTGCTGGTGAGGCACAAGCTTGGGTTGCGGGTTCAGTCCCCAGTTGCGGCATGAACGAGAGGCAACCGATTGATGTCTCTCACATTGATGTTTCTCGCTCTCCCTCTCTTTCTTCCTTCTCCTTGCTCTAAAATAAATAAATAAATAAAACTGTTTTTTTCAAAAAAGCTCAACCCAGGAACACAAATGTCATCCTTTGGCTCAGATGGGATAGCAGGTGCAAAAAAATTTTTGATTGAACACCAAGTAAGGGCAGCTAAGAGGATAAACCTGGGAATGCAGAGGACAAACGCTCAGTTCCAGTAGTGACCTCCTCATATGCTGGGGCATGAAGCTTGGCCTGAGCTTCATGTGGCAGTGCCTTGTGTGAAGAGATGTAGGATTATTAGTTGTCCAGCTCCAGCCTCAGCATGGGTGAAGTTGGGTTCTAAATTGAAAGTACTAAAGATGTACTGATGTCAGGCAGAGGCCCCCAGGTAAGCCATGGGCACAGATTGGGAACAAAAAACATTTCACACTTTGTTTTTTCCTCCAAAAGTTCAGCTTAAGGAAAAACAAAAACCCTCAGAAGGGAATTCCCTAAACTTTTTTGTCATCAACACAAAAGAATTCATGGGATCTGCACATACCACCTCTGCTTTCCCTTCTGTCAAGCAGAAGGTGGCTTCCCTTCTGTTTGAGACCAGTCCCTCCTTTGTTCTTCATCCCTGCTTCTCTTTTCTGTAAGAATCCTACTTTTGTTATCTTCTGTGAGTGAAGCTGCTCTTGTTGAGTCACCACTCCTCTGGTTACTAAAACATAAAGACATTTTTCAGTTATCTTACTTGCTCCATAAGCATAATTTGATACTGTTTACAATAAATTTATTCTTTGGTTTTCATGACACCACAATCCCCTGATATCCCTGTTGTTTTTTTCCTTGCTACCATTCTGTTTCTTGTGTTTTTATTATTTAACTTCTTCCATCTCTTAAAGGCTGGGGTTCCCTACAATGTTTTCTCTCTTATTTTTTTCATTCTACACACTCTCTCTGAATGATCTCATTTGTCCCAATGGCTTCAGTTACTGTATAGTTCAATTATCATTTGTTGTATAACAAACCACTCCCAAATTTAGTGGAAAAAAACAACAACCATTAATTATTCCCATGGTTCAGGAATGTGGACAGGGCACAGCAGGGATGACTTGTCTCTGTTCCACAATGCCAAGGACCTCAGAAAGGAAGACTCAAACAAGTGGAGATAACTGACTGAAACATCTGAGGATGGAAGATCCACTTCCAAACTCCCTTGGAAGGGAATTCTATGATGAGATGCAGATGTAGTAGTCGCCCAGCCTCCAGTCCTGTTTGGCTGGGAAAATATTGAGTCCTAACCTGAGATGATGAAGGAGGTTATGGGTGCCAGGCCAAGTAGAGGGGTTCTTCACATGTCTTGCAGCTGGGCAGTGATGGTTGAAGGCCAAATTCAACTCTATATGGCCTTTCCTTAGAGCATCTCACAGCATGGCAGCTGAGTACTGGAAGAGACCTTCTCCAGAAGGAGCCTCTGGAAGACAAGCATTCCAAAAGAACCAGGTGGAAGCCAAATGGTGTTTACTGTCCCAACTTGAGAAGTATCTGCATTTTATAGGTTAAAACATAGTCAGTAAACCAGCCCAAATTCAAGAGGAGGGGCATAGACTTCACCTCTTAATGGTAGAAGTGCTTAAGAATTTGTAGACATATATGAAAACTGCCATACTTCTTTTATGCTGATGACTGAAAAATTGCCATTTCTAGCCTAGTTCTTTCATGTAAGATTTAACGTGTTCAAAGCAGCACTCTTGACTCCTTAATCCATACAATTTTTCCCTTGATCATTCATTTATCAAT